ATTTGCTGAAGAATAATTTAAGAATTACTAAAGCACCATCCTTAACGAACTCTAAAAAATATTTGCCATCAGATAATAGCCTCTCAAGGGTGGTAAAGTTCAGGACGATAGAGAATTAAATGTATTATCAGAACATACTATTACTCCTATAAAGAAATATTTCTGTAGTGATAATAAGTTCAAAATAAAAGCGAAAGAGATAGTAAAAAAATACAGTTGTTTAGAGTTTGTTAAGAATGGTGCTTTAGTAATTCTTAAATTATTCTTCGGCAAATAAAAGCAAGAGAAGACATAAATACACAGGGTAATAGAGAATTTCAAGCGCTATCAGTGTGAATAATGACATCTTTTTAAACGTATTCGTATGGTAAGTATAGTTTGAAAAAACAGCAGAACAGGTGCGAAAAAACAGCAGAACAGGTGCGAAAAAACGCAGTTTTTTCCTTGCAGTTGAGTTCCTGAGATTTCTTCTAAAAGTAAACATTTCCACGGCATATCTACTGGAATTTTTTTTTTCAAAACTCGACAAGATCATGTAATACAATATCTCGCAAGTTCCTGCAAGTTTAGAAACGGGCAACAAACTACTTTTTATTTTCATAATCGAAATTTGCGAGAAAAACTGGCGGGAGTTCAGAGAATTCCCGGTAGGATCGCGCGAGGAAAAACCTATCGGGCATTCTCTGAACTCCCACGAGGTTTTTCCTCCGGAATCGCGCATGTCCAACGGGGTACCACCGAATTTTGAAAAAACATTTCTAGTGAGTAGTCAAAACTCTATGTTTCGAGTTATTTTTAAGGTTATCAGAGCTGAACGGACTAAGATAGATCTCAATAAAATCTCAACTGTTCGAGAAACATGTTAGTTAACGACCTCGGACTTACGTATCACTTTGGGCTATCTAATCATCTAATTGAAGTTAACGTTTCGTTTTAGATTCGATATCTTGCGACTTCGCCTTTTTACACCTGTCAGATACACCATCTGAAAATCTCGTATACATTAAAAGATGTGGTAAAGTGGTCTCTATAAAAAGGCAAAAATCGCATCTTTCTATCATCTTTCGTTCTCGTGTTATTCAAAAAACATCCATCCATAGCCACTTAATTGTGAAATGGGATAGTAATTATCGTTCAATTTGTCTATGAAATATCCGTTTCCAAAACTAACAGATGGAAGAATAATATTCTCAAGATTTTTGATTTTGAAAAATAAACTTCTTTGAAAATAATCATATTGTTCCTGTGTTCGTCAGCTAGACGATGCTGATTGACATTACCATATTTCTTATCAAGAATAAATAATTTAAAACTCCGATTTTGAATAAATTTTATTCAAATTCAATAACGTAGTTGAAAAAATGTGAAGGCGATATGTTAGGAACTCCGCACAATCAAGAGACTTAACTTACTGGATGATCAGCATTTAGTGCGAGCTACAAAATTTTGATTTACTAAGTTGTTGTTTTTTCTTTCATAAGATAGATCTAAAGCTGTTATTACTATTGCAGAATACTCCGTCTTCATATATTAAATTGAAGATTTTAGATCGTAGATCAACTCGTTAAAATAGAATGATTTCCGTTCCACATTATTTAATGAATGTTGACATTCCATCCTGAATATATAACTGAACTACAATACTCATTTGTTGTTCAATAGTAGATTTAGAGACATTCGTGGCTGTTTTATGAATACATCATTTGCAAGTTGTACCAAACATAATTTCTCTCTATTTCAATGACGCTAACCTTCTCTTTTCGAACAGTTGCATTTGGTTAGAATTGATGTTTCTTTTTTTTTTACTATGTTTTCCTTAGTTATCATCGCAAGACTTGAAGTTAGTTTGCTTCTTGTATTTACGATACACAGGGGCGACAAAAAGAAAGAGAGAACAACTGTGTGAAACAGAAAAAATAATATCAAAAAAAAAAGAAGAAAAAAAGAAAACCAAACAAATAGATACAAAAAAAAAAGACCTTGAGGGTGTTTGTGTTTTACATATATATTCATCATCCATTTGAAACAAATCTATTTGGAAGGTAACAAAAATATAAAGGGTAAATATGTGTGTGCATTTGTGTATTTTCTGGGAAATGGAATCAATTTGTGTTTGTATTTGTGTATTCTCTACTCTACCAATAATGATAATAACACAAAAACAAACAATAAAAGATAAAAACCCTTTTTGTGTTCTGTTCTGTTGATGTTGAAATTATAAATAATAAATAACTAATACGGTATAATAATTTAGGTTTTATATTGTTCTTTTTTTTTTTTTCTAAGTGTAGAATGTCAAGGTGTATGCGCGCATAAATAAAATAAATTTTTTTCCTATAAAAAAAATGTGATACGGAAGACGACAATTGATAACGTTTTTATATCACATTATAGACGACATGTCTTGTCATTTTTTGTTGCTTGCTCATCTACAACGACGATTGTCATTTATGGTTAAAAGGATGTGTAAAACATTTAAAAAAAAAATATTACGAGAAAATAATTTATCAATTCTCTTCACGTTCATTGATTTCAGCATTACGCGGAGACACTAAAAATAAGAGTAAAATCAAAATTACTATTATAATTTTTTTCATTAAATAAACTAAACAAGTTGAAAAATGACTATTATCAAAACCCTCATATAAATAGATCAACAATAAAAAGTATAATTGTTTATCTCTCTAACATCTATATATAGTAGAAACTATTCTACTATTGTATCTCCGTCTTTAAACACATTTGATATCCATCCTTATCCGAAAGAAAAATTGTATGCAAAATTGAGTCTACTTGAATCACAAGTTCAACATTCAGTTATCTACTTATTCAGTAAAAAAATAAAATAAAAATAACCTACCTTCTTTCATACATTCTCATTAGAACAAGAGTTCAATGATTCGTTTCATTGTTTATGTACAATTTATTTGTGTGAGTATGAAAAATTCATGCATGAAACTCACCAAACTTCTATACAATGGGTTTTCAAGCAAATTCATTCAAAACATGCTTGTTTAAATCACTTATCATATTTTGTCTATTGTATTTTTTTTTTATCAGTAGTAATAACAAAGAAAAACTGAGAAACATTAACAACAACAACAACAACAAACAACAATAAGAAACAAAAAGAAAGATTTTTTATTTAATAGAAATAATAACTTAAGAAATAAGTTAACTGTTAGAAGAAATAATCGACACAACACTCTTTTTTTTTCCTTAAATTTCATGATGGTTTTTTGCATAGTAAATAGTATAAAAAAAAAAAAACATTGGAAAATTATTTTCGAACACAAAATAAAATAAAAAAAACATACGATAGTGGAATTTATAGGCACATGCTTTTATGCAGCGGCAGGAGCAACACATTCGATATGAATGAAAAACGTAAAAGAGAGAGAAGAGAGATCAAAAAAATATCATAAGAGCAAAAGAGAACAAAATTCTACAATTGCACGCCGCTCATACACAAACAAACACTTTAGGATGCTTCGGTTGCTGGGAATTTTTTTTTGTTTTTTTTGTTTTATTTTTGTTTCTTTATATCTTCGGTAGTATGCATATATGTGAAAGAATTAAGGAAAATAGAGAGAACAAATTACATGCACGAAATTAGAGAGAAATGCAAATATCCCGCTTTTAGTGAGGGTGGATTAGATCCTCGTGAGAATTGAATATAAACTATAGTATAACGAATGAGTTAAAATGTTTAATAGCCATTCATTTTTCACTTTATAAATCATTCGTTTAATACTATAGAATCGGATTCTTTCTGTTTTCAGACTATACAGGGTTCATTCATTCAATAAAAAAAAAACCAGAAACATGCTCGTTCTATCTATAGTTCAACGTTTAAATGGGGCATTGTCAAATTTTGTTTATGAATGACATTTGACTGATGGGTAAAACCGTGCCATGTTGAAAAAATGGGTGAATAGCATAATAATACCAAAAACAATCCCCACATGACAAATAATGCAAATAAACCCGATAATAATCGAGAATTATTACCATCAACATAACGACGTGAAATAAATTTCAATGTTTCATCTAATAAAACAACTGGTATTGATATTTTAATAACAGCAAACCATTCTTCTGTTGTTAATGGACAAATTTGGAATACAGTCTAAAAATGAAAAAATAACAACAACAAATAAATAAAAATTGATCAATATTTTATAAGAATTATTTACATTGAAGAATGGTATATATAAAATCATGACATGTAAAGACATCGATAATGCAATTGCAAATAATAAATATTTATTATACCATGGTGGCATTTTAATTAATGATTGATTTTCCGATAAACTAAAATGAATTCATTATTAATAAATATTTTTAATAGTATTTGTAAAACTCTTAATATACCTGTTTAATGCATTTAACATTTCAATTGTAACCAAGACGGAAAGTGCCATAGTCATTGGATGTGGATCATCAAATACATCACAATCAATATCTTCCCAGGCTTTTCCACCGCCACGACATTGAAAATGGTGAGACTAAAATATTATAAAAAGAGCGTTCATTTTTATTACAAATAAAAGCACAAGGAGAACAAATTTTCATGTGTACGTCTAGAGTATTAGACGTAATAAAGAGTAGATTTCTTCTCCTTATGCATATAAAAAAAAGGAAAAATAATGAATGAAAAGCGCAAGCAGATCCCTGAATGCTAACTTATATACGAATAAATAATATGAATGCTCACAATACATGCTATAAAGACGGGTGTATGAATTTGATCTGAGAAATTTCAGAAAAGAAGACAGCACGAGCCATAATACATGTTTTTGTATTGTTTCCATAAAATAAATATATTCTCCATAACGTGCATGAGAGAAAATGGTGGTTCAAGCATGCTTATGAGATTTTTCGCGCAATACTGTCCGAACTATTTATGTTAACAAATATCCTTTAAGAATAAGACGCTTTATCTCTTGTATGTCAGTTAATCCCCTATCACCTGTTGTCCTATTGTTTAAAGACAAAAATAATCAGTCATTCAAAATTAGTTATTCGACACTAGTAACAATTCAAACTCTGATTCTACTATTAGTAAAAACTAAAAATTGATCAGTGACTAAACATTTCTCTTTAATTCATGATACTATTGGTTTATGAGCATATGGAACTCAGACAGTTAGTGCGTTTTCTGTAAGCATATAGATAGAGCTTTAGTTAGGTTGAAAAACCAAACCAATTACATGCAAAATATATTTAACTTTTTTTCAAATAACAGGAATAAAATACGGATGTGACATTATTTGTTCATGAGTTTTTTTTTCTCTCATGAAAACAAATAGTTTATAAATCAGTGCAGGTTTTTATATAAGAGGGCTAAACACAGCATCCTATCCTATCTCACCAACTGAGTCCAAGTTAATAATGGTCCATCGTGGTATGAAACATACCACCTAAAATGGAAAGACTCTTTGTTGGGTTATTTATAAACTAACACCGCTGACTTATTAGTTATTACCAGCATGATGAACCGACTGTGGCAAAGCCAACATATGCTTTAAACGAGAAAAGAAAAAGTACACGATTAATTAAAATTAATGTTCAAGTAAAAATAAAATCATCATACTGATATGACTTTAACGAAATGACAAATGATACTTTATGTTGATAATTATAACCTAATAGGGAAGTGAAGAGTAGTATCGCTGTGTGAACAAAAATTAATGTACATTTGTACATTTCAAAAAGTCTTGAAAAAAACAGAGGCGAGATCAGTATGATATGTTTACCAGTTGCCAGTAAGTTAATTTTGGACCGTTTGATGCATCCATACTCCACCATGTAGCCGAAGCAACAACAGCATATCCGACATAGGCTAGTAAAAAATAAAGCATGTTTACAGATAGCACAATCTCAATACTCTATGAAGGCTTCTCCCAACTGTACTCCATGTTTAAGTAAACTACAAAAATTTTTCTTCCGAGTATTTTTTTATCATTTCTCAGTCAATTGAGAATGCCCTAATACAAAATAGACCCAAAGAGAAAGCTAAGTGGATGACTATAATTAACTTATAAGTGCTAAAATAAAAGCTAAAATAAAGATATTCTAATCATACAAATTTTCTTCATCTTAAATCAATATTTCTCAAAACTAAATATGTAACTTACTGCCGATAGCCATATATCGAAAGAATAACCAAGGTGTAATGAGTGATTCTTTTCCGCTTCTTGGTGGACGTTCCATAATGTCCAAATCAGGTGGATTGAAACCGAGTGCCGTGGCTGGTAAACCATCAGTAACTAAATTAACCCACAACAATTGAACAGGAATCAATGATTCTGGTAAACCTAATGCAGCTGTCAAAAAGATGCAAACAACCTAAACACAGAGAATTTTTCTTATTAAAATATATTTTATGTATTTATGATAAATTTACATACTTCTCCAATATTCGATGAGATTAAATAACGAATAAATTGTTTCATATTATTATAAATTGCCCGTCCTTCTTCGACTGCTGCCACAATTGACGAAAAATTATCATCAGCCAACACCATTTCAGCTGCTGATTTTGCCACAGCTGTACCAGATCCCATAGCAATACCGATTTCGGCTTTTTTTAATGCCGGTGCATCATTGACACCATCACCAGTCATAGCTGTTATCTCTCCATGAGATTGTAAATATTCGACAATTTTTGATTTGTGAGCCGGATCAACACGAGCAAACATTTTCGCATGACGAACAGCTTCACTTTGTTCTTCTATACTTAAATCATCAAATTCACGTCCACTAAATGCTTTTCCTAAAGTAATAAAATGAGTTTAGCATCAAATGATTTAGGTACATTGATAGATTTACTGATTTACCTCTTGTATCTTGATTTTCTTTGAATATTCCTATTCTTCTACAAATAGCTTCGGCCGTATTTTTATTATCACCGGTAATCATAATAACTCGGATACCAGCATTACGACAGCGAACAATGGCATCAATAACTTCTGCACGAGGCGGATCTAACATACCAACAACTCCAACAAATGTAATATTATTCTAAACACAAACGGACACCAATTTAAGTAATAGAAATCTCTTAAAATCCGTACTTCATAGGTAATAAATTTTCTTGCATCTTCTAAATCCATATCTTCTTTTCTCGGTGGTGCATCGATTGTACCTAATGCTAAACATCTTAGAGTATCTCGACCAGTTCCATATATATGAACTAATTTCATTATTTCTTGCTTAATAGCCGAAGTCATTGGTAATTTATTTGTGCCACATCGAACATGCGTACAACGCTCAATAACTGATTCAGGAGCACCCTATAATGATGAAATAAGATAGTACACATAATTGAATTTTAATACTTGACACACCTACTTTAACAAACATTTTTGCTCCACTACCAAGCTTAGATGGAGATGCTGGTAATGTATATACAGACATTGATTTTCTATCGCGAGAAAATTCGAGTGTAAATTCTTTTCGATATTTTTGACGAATAATTGTATTTGAAGCCATGGCTAATTCTTGTTGAGATAAACGAGATTTATCCGTGTTGAAAACGTTCATTTTCTCGACTAATACAGTTAACGCCGTTTCAGTTGCTTCACCAACTTTTTCAAAAATTTTTTTAGTCTAAACAAAGATGAACGTCAAATCTTTAACTTAGTAACGCAATATACCTTTATGAAAGAAAAGAACGTAAGTGAGTTCGATAAAAACTGCATAAGTATTAAAAAGTTACAATACGTTTTTTCCACGCTCTTAGCGAATGATTTTGAAAAAGTACCTACCTCATTGAAATCTAACGCTGAATCATTACATAATGCTGCACATTCCGCTAGTTCAACGAGTCCACTACGATCGCCACAGTTAAATTTCTGTCCATTAAATTGACTAAAACACAACGCAAAACAGATCAAATTTGGTTATACAGTCGAAAGATCCACGCGATACATACACATCTCCTTTTGGTTCATAGGTGGATCCGGTTATTTCAAACTGATCTATTTGAATATCATTAGCCTCTGCTTTAGTAAACACAAACATCTAAAGCAAAAAGAAAAAAACGTAAAAACGAAGGATAAGGTGACTTTCTATACATACTTTGCAAACAGACATTTGGTTAGTTGTCAATGTTCCAGTTTTATCCGAGCATATAACCGATGTGCAACCCAACGTTTCAACAGATGGTAATGAACGCACAATTGCATTCTTTTTGGCCATACGTCGTGTACCTGTAAAGAAACAAAAAACGATTTTGTATGACGTCTATTTAGCGTTTAAATCGAAAAATACCTAAAGCTAAGCATGTTGTTATAACAGCTGGTAATCCTTCGGGTATAGCTGCAACAGCCAAAGCCACAGCTATTTTAAAATAATAAATTGCTCCTCTGAACCATGAACCACCATGAACAGGATCATTAAAATGACCAATATTAATTGCCCATACAGCCACACAAATTATTGAGATCACCTAAAAGTAATGAATAAGTGATTCGATTAATAGATGGAAATTCAAAGAATAACATACTTTTGATAACTGTTCCCCAAATTCATCTAATTTTTGTTGTAATGGCGTTTTTTCCTCTTCTGTGTCCGCCATTTCCGAACGAATTTTGCCTATAAATAAAATAGTCACGCAATAACAATAAAAATAAAAGTTAATCACTTACCGATTTCCGTATTTAAAGCAGTACCAATAACAACTCCACGACATTTACCACTAGCAATATTTGTACCCTACAAGATGGAAGAAAAAAATGTAAAAATTCACACAAATTCTGAATGATAAAAATATAAATCTTACCGAGAATAAAATATTTTTTTTATCTTGATTGACTGCTCTTGGATCCGGTACAGGATCGGTGTGTTTAATAACCGATACTGATTCACCCGTAAGTAAAGATTGATCAACCCTCAGAGTTGTTGAAAAAATCGTTACTATTCGAATATCAGCCGGAACTTTATCACCAACAGCTACTTCGACAATATCACCTGGTACTAATTCTCTCGCTTTAATACGTTGAATTTGTCCAGGTCGATTTTGTCTTACAACTTTGGCCACTTCTGGTTCATATTCCTTTAATGCTTCGATGGCACTTTCAGCATTACGTTCCTAGAAAAACAGCAACAGCAAATGAAATGACTAGTAAATGAAAATGACTAATAAACATTTTAAAAACGTACCTGCCATACACCAACAGTTGCATTTGCTATCAAAATAAGAAGAATAACAAGTGGTTCAACAAATGCAGCTACTAAACTATCTTCTTCTTTATGGTCTTCAAATAAAGCTAATACCTAAAAGTGCAATTAGATCGTTAATAAAAACTACACATACGACCTCTACAGGTTTACTTTCAACAACAAAAAAAAGTAAAAGCGTATAACAGAAGTAGTTGATAAAATTATTCTGTTTTTTCTTTCTATCACTTAACCGTATGAAATCTATATTATGGAAACTATAAAATGTTCAACAGGAACATAAAAAACTAGAACTAAACATTAGAAATGTACACAGTCAAAACCTACACGCACCTTTATGAGAGTAAATATCTAGCACGAAATTTGCTTAAAAACCTGTTCTAGATCAATAAACGATCTATTATGATCAACAATAATTGGGCTCATTTAATTTGACAAAAAAAGTATGTCTTATAAATGGAAGACAATGATCTTGATAAGAAGAAAAAAATAAATTTTGTATTTTTTCATTAAAACTATCTATCTATACGTAAAAGGCTATTCTTCTAAATACATCTGACTACTTACAAAAGATATACACGCAGCTGCAAGTAAAATTTTGACTAGAAGATCATCGAATTGTTCTAAAATTAATTTCCATAATGGTTTTCCTAAGATCGAAAAAAATATCGATAATATGAATAAAGATCCTAGAATATAAAAAAAAATTTGGCTATAATTTTCTTACCCTCTTCGGCTGGTAATTCTAGAAAAAAAGAAGACAATAATTATTAAATAGATTATTAATATTCTTTCACTTACCATTAAATCCATATCGTTCTAAATCTCTTTTAACTCTTTCCTCTGATAATCCTTTTGATTCTTCAGCATTATAGAATGCTAAAACATCTTCTTTTGTTTTTGTCCATGGATAATCAATTACAATAAGAGATATACTAGCACGATGAGCTATACTTGGACGGTGCATAATTTAGTGTGATCTATAAACGAATCAACACTTTAATTTATTAGACACAATTTAAAGGTAAGTTATGTACAACACGTCGACAATTATGACTATTTCAAATATTCTCTTTTATTCTCGAACAATAAAGAGTTGTATGAAAATAAAAAAGATTAAAAATTGTTATATATTGTGGCAGCAAGACATCTTTTAATAATCATAAGGATCTGTATGCACCATGCAGCTGTGAAGAAGGAAAAAAAAGAAGAAAAAAAGTCGAAACTGGGACACGCGTCCGTTCTTTGTTCTTCAAGCATAAAACCATTATGGAAAGGTTGATGTCCTTACCCCAAAGTAGCTAACACATTAATGCACTTTTTTAATATTAGACGAATGAAACAGAAACAACAGGATATTACTCAACAATAGATCTCGAGTTTAAAAAACCCATATAAAGGATAATTTGATGTCTTCTGAAGATGTCGTTATTTGGGAATGACTATTCTAATAGAATGATTGATAATATCTGATGTATTCTATTTATCATACGCATAAATAAATTGTAGGCTATTCTATTTCAAAGGAATCGATAGTGTCCGTAAAACAAGAGAGACGGTCGGTATTCATCAGATTTCTGAAGAAATATTGATAATACGTAGACTTGACACAGTTTTATGATGGTCTAGAATTAAAATTGAAAAAAGCCTGTATTAAGAAATTGTGTAGTAGCCTTCATTATGAGATTGATGTTGGTAATGTTAAACAGATTTTCTAACATCAAATGTTTAAAACTATCTTACTCTTTCTTATATTAAGAACTTGTAGTACCCACATAGACGATATCGACGGTCTGATATGAATAAAGACAAAGAAGAATAAAACACAATCAGCAGTTGAGGGTATACTGTTTTAATAACGTAAAAACTTTCCTTTTGACAGCTAAAAAAACAGATTAATAAAAAAAAAGAGAAGATAATCCACGAATAAGAAAATGAATTAGTAGTTTAATTAATTGCATAAGAGTGTCACTGAACAAGAAACAGAAGAAAATCTGTATATATTTTCGACATAAAATCACATATTGTCACCACATACTGAAAACACTATATCATGATTTTTGAAATAAAATAAAAAAGATAATCTTTGTCAAACTGTTTTTACTACTTAAATAAAACATATTAGTCTATTCAATTACGTAAAAACATCTGTATTCATTCACTGTCTTAAAAAAAATTCTAAACGTATGATATCTGAATATTGCGTTCTACATTTTTTACAACGCCATGTATGTTATACATTATCTTTTAATCTAGTGTAATTGTGTTGTTGGGTGTAATCAGATATAAGCGCGATGTTTATCTATTAGAAAAAACGCATGTATTTCTTATATTTCAAGGTACTATACAAGTCAAGTAGATTATATGAATATTCTCTAATTTTAAATTTTTCTATAAATATAAAATTAAATAAAACATTCTCTTAAGATTATTTATTGTTCTAGAGAGAATTTTCCCTGTTGATGGTTCATGATATTTATTTGTATAAGGTCCAAAGTCGATACAATAAAATGAATTTTCTTTTATATCTTTGTAATAATAATAATATTAGGTGAAGTTTTCTTTTATTTCCGAACTGTCGCCACTGTACTTGGACATAATCCTTTGTATTACAAATTAAATAAGCATAAACACAATGCACACATTGTTTCTCTCTCTCTCTCTCTCTCTCTATTGTTCAATCATGTTTTGATATAACACAAGAACAGTTAAGCATGCAGATTCATTCACAATGATGAAAGAAACTTACCTAACTTAAATAATGTATTGGTGATAACCAACAAGGCGGAATACCGCTGACTCGTTTAACTTTTTTTCCTTCGTTCGCTTTTTTATCTTTTTTTTATTTTGCACTTATTTGCGCTCAATTATTGTTATTATTATTTTTGTTTAACAGCAACGCCAATATGAAATACCAGACAGCACGAACGAGCTTCTCTTGTTGTTGTTGTTATTGTTGTTGTTCGCTATACGTTGGGTAGAAGAAGAGCAAAGTAGAACATCGTCTCATAAAAGAAGATATATGTCGTCTATTATTAATTCTCATCATCAAAAAAAAAAAAAAAAAAAAAACCAAAAAAAAAAAAACCAAACCAACCACCCACCCCCACCCCCCCCCCACCCCCCCCCCCCCCCCCCCCCCCCCCCCCCCCCCCCCCCCCCCCCCCCCCCCCCCCCCCCCCCCCCCCCCCCCCCCCCCCCCCCCCCCCCCCCCAGATATTTAACGATCGACAATGATGTTGCAAAAAGTCAGTCAGTAAGGCATAAAAAAAAAATATATATACCACAAAAAAGAAAAAAACTATTTTTTTTGTACATATGTCTTTGGCTGTTATTGGTACAACTTATCACCACAAACGCCACCGCCACACACACAATCATTTCCTCATTAACACAAAGAAGAAAAAGAACAGAAAATGTATGTGTATAGATGTGTATATTAGCAGTCGTCCCAGTCTATTTTCTTGTGTCATCTCTCTTCTTGCTCTATTAGGGGAGATTGAGTTAGTGTGTTGGTCTCTTTTCCATCTCTCTTTCTTTTCTAACTGTCTTTGGTTAAAAAAGAAAATTGAGAAAGAAATCAACACATTATTTCAATCTTTTTCCATTATACCTTCTCTGTTTATTATTTTTCTTTTTCTTTAGTTGTTTTTTTTTTTCTTTCGTTGTTGTTGTGGCTGTTGTTATTTGAATGAGAAATATACAATTGTAATCGCTTAGCTCACAATCACAATAATATACGTATGTACGTACGTCTTTAGAGCTCGAGTCAGGCAATCAATGATTTTCAGTAACAACCTTGTATATATATCTATACATACTGAAAGGGAGAGAAACGTGGTTGGTACAAGAGAAAAAAAAAAGACAGTTGGCTTTTGCGTCATCAATAAAAAAAAATATCTATAAAAATTCCGGATTATGATATATGTACAAAGTATTATGTTAAAGAATATAAAGAACAAAAATAAAAGTTAAACTATTCGTTTACACTTTATATTTTTCTGTAGTTTTTTGACATAACACCGACTAAATGTCCTTGAAATACTGGTACACATGTAATTTAGAACATCTTGTCATAGGATAAAAATATTATTTATCAAATACTTCATACCTAAATGTGGTAACATTATAAAAAAAACAACAACAACCTATACTGATTTATTTCTTCCACCATCTTAACAGTTATGTATAGTGACAATGCAAATGCAAACATGTCTTTTTATTTTACTATCATTAATAATCATTAACACTCCATCACCATAGATAGACAAACAATATTAGATGAACCCATGAATAAACTGAAATCATCAATTTACTACTTATCACGGCTTGTTATTTTAATTAATTTAACAGGCAGGAAATTATTTTTATCAAATCAAAAATGACTTATTTTTTCTAATTCTAAAATTCTTAATATCATTAGACTGTACCATAAATATAAGTCAAAGAGCAAAGGAAGTAAAAAGATAAAAAAAAAAACCTTATTCATCGTTGAAAGTCTTGGATACTTTCTGTTCTTTATATCCAAAAAAGCCTTGATAAAATTGATTTACATACTACTATTGCATAAAACATGTTTTAGTTCTTTTTCCACCTTATTCCCACAACAAAATATCGGATATTTAGTATGTCGATGTCATCAAGTTATACACTTATCAATAAAACTTCAATAAACGCCTAAATCAATCTAGACAGTGTGTTCTGTTGAAGCATACTCTCATTTTACTAACGATGATCAAGTGCAAATAATATTACTCTACTATGATACAAATGTAATGATATATACACAAACATTTTTTCGTTTTTAATGATGGACAATTTAAAATACGTATCGTTAGAAAATTGTGTCTTATTTAACATGGATCAACGGCAGATATGATCATGTTCAAGAGTTCAAGACTTTTCTTCAATTATTGAATATTTTTGTATAATACAATTATAATTTTATCTTGAGAAATGTAAAACTTACCGGAAACACTTTCGATCCGATAAACGTTAACGCTCTTTGAGAATGAAACAAATTATATATTAAAAAATTCTGTTCTTTTACTGCTCTTTTATCGGTGATAGAGAGTCACGAAGTGTGTCAAATGTTGTCAAAGTTGACATTTATATTGAGTTTGAACAGGACATAGAGGTTTTTCATTGATAATAAAAAAGGAACGTGTTAATAAAGACTTTTTTTTACTGGTACATTGATTATTTAAACCAAACTTCTAGAGAAAACTAATTGATAACTTTTTTTTCACATTTTTCTCGAAACAACGATATTATTTAGCCAAGTTCACGAGATTGAAAGAAATTTTGAATAAATTCTTATGCTATTTTAATGGAACGTGACTAAGCATTTTAAAATAGAATATCAGCAGTTATATTTTTTTGAATATCTCTTAGAACAGTGAGAAATAGGTAGTTCGAAGTCTCATCAGAAAACTGTACTCGATCTTCTCATGGTGTTATGAATCTCGATGTTCACGTAATGCACATGTTGAATGAAAAAAACGAGCAGATTAATTTACTTTGATACTAGAACGTGTTTAAATGAGTAGATTGCCCTAGTGGTATTTCTGTTTCATTCTTGCTGAAATACGAACACAATTTTTTGACCCTGGTAACGAAAATTGCTGATCTTGGTAAAATAAAATGACGATCTTATAGTTGTAATCGCGATCTTGTTCAAATTCTTGATACAAGCTCGTTTTGTTTCTTTGTCCTAAAATATGGTAGGATCCTGATCAGATCATGAAAAGATCGCAATAAATTCTCTACGAGATCCATCGAAATACAGAGAGCACCTACTTTGAAACTTTTATTTCATTCTTTTATCGAGAATTGATGTATATCAAGATGTGTATCAGAGTTGCAAAATGCTCAAGTCAGAAATACAGAAAAAGAAAATGGAAACGCATTTCCATGGTCTAACTTCATCCATTTTCATGCGCAAAGAGTCAAAAAACAAAAATGTTT